CTGGTGGAGGTTGCGTTGGCCCAAGTTTCCCATTCCGTATGATTCTCTAGCGACGTTATACGTAAAAACGACCCATGATTCACAAAGTCCATTTCACCCGGTTAACCAGTCTGTTCTTCTTGACATGCTTGTCCGTCATCGAAGCTTGTGAACACAATAAGTCCATTGTATTACTAAACGTCTCGGCGCGTGGCGGTATACATAAGCTCTCCAAAAGTTTCCGTACGCAAAGCGGTGTCTGTCAGAGGTGCCCATTCTCTTCATTGCCCTTTAATTTCGTGCTCGATGAAATAATGAGGCATACGCCCGAAGGTCTTCAAAATACCTGTCCAAATATGTGCTCACACAATATTTGCCGATAACATCGTACGGGTCTTCGGAGAGTAGAGGAAGGCGTGGATATTTTTGGATGAACAGACCAAAAACATTCCGTGCTTAGTTTAAAATTTGGAGACACAAAGTTTAAGGTCATGCTCCTAGACACGTAGTCCAGTACCAGAAGCTGCGTTGGTTATGTCCTGTATTGTATCTTGCAAACCATCCTGTTCCGAAGAAAGTGTTGCTTTTGGTGCCAAATTTAGAGTAACGGAAGCAGTATGGTAGTGACTACTTGGCAGAGGTATCAAAAATATTGCGAAACGTTTGGGTGCTGTCGGTGCTACTCGCCTTCCAGTATTAGGAGTGCGTAATCTCCAGTGAACCTGGCTGGCGACGCTGCAGGTCATGGCTACTAATCGATGTTAGTGGCATTACTGTTGTCAGTTTCTACCAAGATTGCCTGTCAGGAGATTCTGGTACCTTTGGATTGTTGTAACAAGCTCGCCGCAAGTCCAGTCTCCGTTTGCTTTTGTTCTTCTGATTACGATAAAGTTGTAAAAAAAGCATGGTTGTTCGGTAGCCAAGCATCACTACCGAATGCAAATGCCATGTCCTGGATGATGATGGTGATGGTGATTTGCGCCGAAACGGGGCCGATGCGATTCCGTTTGACCTTCTTCGGTGACTGGTTTGCCGTGACAAAAGTACGAATTTCCGGTAACATAAGAGACTGTGTCATTCCATTCTGTTAGTCGCTTTACGTGAATACCCGGATTTTGATGCACACAATTGTTTCAGGGCTTTTCATCACATTGCGAACTTGGGCATAATATGACCAATTAACATGTTGAAATACCCAACTTAACTCAAAAAGTGCCACCGATGTAATCACACATTATAAGGAACTTCAAAAAATATGGCAAAGTTTTAAATAATCGAAACCCCTTAATATGGATACACGCTGAATAAAACAAATGGCGGCTTCAAGATTCCGACAAGTATATTAAAGTATTCAAATAAACAAAAAACATGTCAGCCATTGTATTGTCGGAAATCACTTCGAAATTTGAGCGCAGGAAAATTTTATTAATCCCTAAAATTGCCCCATCTGATTGAGATGATGAAATAACGCTTCATTTTTGTAAAGTTCATGTCCGTCTGGAGTCAATTTTGGGTGGGTTTCAACGTAATATCTCATAGGCATTGTGACTTTATTCAGTTATTGGTAACATCCTATTAGCATAGAGCACACAACTTCAGGCGAATGGTCTAATGGAGAGAACTACTGGCATATGCTTTAACGATAACGAATCAAGTTCATGTCACTTCCGTGGAGTTATTTATTTCCTACTTCCGAACGTAAGGCCTGTTTCCTTCGATAGATGCTTAGTACATACATTCTGGGTAAACAAAATGTGCAATTTGACCACAGGCGGAACATTGCATTTTTTACATCTTACTACATTAGCCCACATCTGAATTGGTAACCCATGAATTATGTATTCCTGGTATTTGTTGCGGATGAATTAAGGTATCGGATAGGGAAAAAACAGACCGTGGCTTTATAAAAAGAATCTTGTTTTTCGTGCTAGTCAAAGTAAAGTGTGAATTTACTATTTTTGCGTTGAAGACCCCACCGCAAAACATTTTTTCAAACGTTTGAATATATCTGGAAAATAGCACTTAAGTCCAGCTACTCAAACAAACCATAATATATGAATAGTACTCAAAACTTTGCCCCGGGATCATTTAAATTTACTTGATTAACAACGTATTTTATCCATCTCCCCCTATACGCAAACCATTTCAGCGTCAAGAGCATTTTCTAGGAATGAGAGCAATATAGATGGACATGCCGAATGTGCTCAATTGTGAAAAACATGAATTGGTCATCAGAGATTCCTTTGTTTGCCATTGATGTCGTCACTATGGTCAAATTTTCTGTTCGCGTTTTCAAACCCCCAAAAAACTACCCAACTATTTCGAAAACGCCCATCCAGAGCTGCAAGGGTAGTGAAACCTTTTCAAGTGGATTCTCGAATGCAAAAGGAATTTTTCTTAATTTATACCCGTATGAACGTGTTATATACAATAGAGATTTGTTGGTGTTTTCCCAGAAGACAACCTGTGAAGGTGGTCGTATCAGTCGAAAGGAAACTTCTGGAAATTTAACTCTGGACCCTTCAATGGACTGCAACACACAGAGTTAACTGCTCCTAGTAAATAAATTCTTATGGCGTAACACATTAAATTATGACCGAAGTTGTCTTTCTTCACAGTATTTTAGGTCTACTATTCAATGGTTTGCTTCGATATCGTGGAAGACATTTATGTTCCGATTTAGAAACTACAAATCAGTTTTAGTGAAACCCCTGCTGACGACATACAGCAAGCATACTTGTGTATGGCTTACTCCATCATCATACAATACCACGAAGCAAAGTTGCTACTGCATTCAAACAGCCCTGTTGCGTGATCCTTTCGCCACGATCATCACACCTTGTTCACTTCTATGCGATCAGTTTATCGTCGGATATATTTTGTTCACATTGACGGTCACGGATTTTATTAGAGCACTAGGCATTCATTATGAATCCGACACACCAAGCTTCCGAATTAGCGCTCGTCACATTTTCATCGCGATCACTTTTGAACCCGAAAATCCTGAAAAGCTTCCCTATGTAAAGTCCATTACTGAGATGTGAAATGCAAAACTGAATTAAGAACTATACCAGAAATCAAGCACAGACCGAGCCAAACCTGCAGGTACCTTAAAAAGCGGTGAATAGACAGAACGTGAGTTGTATTGCAGACCCTAATATTCAACTTGAGCTCACAATCCTGTTCGTAAGGGTGTAACCTTCCATAAGTTTCTCAGAGTAGTTTAGTAGACATCAGTGGATTTGTTGCTGGACAATGTTTCACTTTTGATACGAAAGCTTCGCCAGATCAAGTGAATATGTTGCCAGATTGACCAAGCTTTAATGAAGTCAGAGAACTAACCAGTGAAATTTCGTACGACCAGCTGACTTGACCAGTCCTGGGTCTCAGTATGAAGTTCTGTTTTTTGCTTAGTATGGATAATTAAGACTTACCTTAGAATGGTTAGGAGACTTTGAAGACTTAATTTTCCGATCTACCATACCTGAGTGGAATATTACTTCTGAGTGTCATTCACAGATGTTTGTTCTCTGTGTCGTAGGGTTAAAGAACAGCCAGACTGGATTTGGGAGGGAGTTAATGGATCTCATTAGTATTAGGTTTGGCACTTTTAGATACAGACGGTTTCACTGGCAACTGTCCGCCACCGTGTGTCATCTCGGCTGATCCATACGCTTTCCAGTTCTGCTTCCGCTGTCCTATTCACGTTGGCATGCTGGGCGATTTCTATCACCTCAACCATTATTCGACGTGGTACGAATCTTAGCTCTCGTTTCACATCATCATCATCATCATCATCACCATCGACAGCATGACATCAGTGTTCAACACCGATGCTTCGCCGCCCTACAGTTCCTATATTATTCAAACAATGTTTTTAGTGCATGACATACCATTGCAGAGTCCTCGACCATTGCCTGATATTCATTAAGCTTTTGAATGATCTTTTTAGCATCACTTATGCTAACATATTTTGGTGTGCAACTCTGGTTGTTTAGCCTACATAAACCTCTGGATACTCGTTACATTATATTTTGTATACGCAGTCCATAGCCATGTCAACCAGAAGAGTATCCCTCAACTGCCACAAACCTGAGTATGAAAGTTTCCCCTTGTGGGGCACTACTCCAATATTGAGTGCATTTCGCACCCTCCTAATGACCTCAAATATCTATGTTTTATATGGGGTGACCCAATACTTGTTGGGTCGTGATGCCTTAGTTGTTTCTGACTTGAAGTCACCGTTTTGCCTCAAGCTTCGCATGGGGCTAGAGTCACCCTTCCTTGACTGAAGGACACAAGAATGAAGGGAAATTAAAGAGGAATTTTCACCAGAAATCAACAGGCAGTGGTGCGGGTTTAAAGTACTCATCAGTATATCCGAAGGCGGCGTGCCAAAGTACGGTGTGCAGATGATATCGACTGAATGGGAGCACACCTCAGTAAAAAAGCAACAATGTAATAAGAGATATTAGCGGCTTAGTGTGTCACCATGCAACACTCCTGTTGAGTTCCATTTGAGTAGCTCACAAGTGAAAAGAAGGAGGCTGTTATCTGCACTTAGAATGTGGTTCAGCGGCGGTAATGGTCTCCACTTTAGCCTATGTTGTAGCTCATATATTTACATTCTTGGTAGGATATCTTGACATTTCCACCAGATGTAATTCTAAAACTATAGTTGTCTGGTAAGAATGCACAATTTACGCAAGAGAAGTCCACAGGCTACTCGACGATGTCCCAAGGGCTGGTTGCTCCCTGGAATTAGTGATTCCGCATCTCTCAGGACATCTTGGCCAATTACTTATCTGTCAAATATCTAATCGGTTATGGTACCAATGTTTGCAACGTCTTTATAGATACAGTAGGGGTTATTGGATTGTAAACGTATATTTTGGAAGTTGTAAAAGAGATTCTGTTTTATTTATATTGCTCAGGATTTACTGTTCTGCGTAAGGCCAGCACCGAATAAAGTTCCAGTTCAAAAATACCAGGCTGCATCAAAACGCCAAACTCAACATATTTATGGCAGAGCATAAGACGTGAAACTTCATGTCGAACATCTAATCACGCCACGTGCATATCTGTAAGCTACCATTTTGCTGTATTTTACTACTCCTTTCCTCAGAGTGCATTTTTTTCAAAAGCGTGCCAACGTTCGGGAAAATGGCGATCATATGGTGTCATTCTCATTCAATTTTATAACGCTGGAATGAATTGTTTCTAAGATATTTGTTAGGAAAAGTGCTCTGATGGATGTCACCTCCTGATCGGACGTCGGGGATGTGGTCGATTCAGTTTCTAGTGTTTTTCAAATCGTAAGCAGTTAAGGTCACAGCATGGTGATTTTAGAAGGTTGGGGTTTCGAACACTGGAAGCCTTCCTAGTGAGCTCTCAAGTAAGGCGACCGATCAGATCTTCTCTACGGAGTCTAGTTTCTTTTCCACGTGAAGGTGAAGACATCGTAGTGACCAAAAACAGGGTTGGTCTATCTCCGAAGACTTGGCTGTCCACCGGCATCTAGTTTAATCCCTCGTGAGATTTTTGTTACATATACCAGTTTTTCACCTCGGTTGTATCCAGGCTGATTGAACTTAAAATTGTCCTCTTGACAGCGTTCCAGGTAAAGGAACTTTGGCATTGAACAAGGTGCATTCTGCATTGCAGTCTGCACTAACTAAAAATTCTTCAATAAGTAGATCGGTGACGTTTCCGTGGCAACGTAAGACGTTCAACTGAACGTCTGTACCGAATTTTAGCATACACCCAGTAACAAGTAGTGTCATCCTCCTGCTAAGTCACCGGATAGCTTTCGAATTTCCAGTGCAGCGCTTATCATCAGCATTCATTTACCGTCGTCGTTTAATGGATTGATGCCGAAATGTTCACTTCCGGATGACCAAATTTTTAATTTCATTGAACTGATACCGCATAAAAAAGCGAGTGTACTGCTGGAAGAAGAACTGTCCCAGTATAACAAAGTTGAGTGGCGAACGGCCGTAAATATGAAAGCCCGTGCCATCGAATGCCGGGGTATGATGGTCAAAATTCTTAAACCGAAGTCATAGAGCGGTATGCATGAATATCCACTTCTTACTTCTATTTCATACTTCAGTTGCTCTTTGAAAATCACCATGCTAATGGTGTTTGAAGACATCTCGACCATCAATTTTAGGTCCAGCAGCTCCGAACAAGCCGCCGCTAGGAGTGAGTACACTGATCTCCAGGACATTTTAGATTTCATTTGTGAGCAATTCGTTCCCTAATTAGAGCGGATTTTTTGTGTTTGATCATTTGCGTTACCCAAAGGACTACTCTCATTTTCGCTTTCCTTATCGGTTAGGATGCAGCGTTTCACTCCAATGTCATCATATTCCTTGCATAATCCATTTCCCTTGTCAACTAACGTACGAAATCAAGTTAAACCAAGAGCGGAACAAGCATAATCAGGCGGATGTTGAAATCAAAACTTTCATCTATTTCAAAGATTTATGTGGTTGTCCGTTGGTTAATGCAAACTTTTTACTCCTAGGAATGAGTAAACTACGTGACACTCATTATATCACAAGTAACGGTTTCTTATCAAGTGACCGGATAAATCACAATAGCTTTATTTTGTTACATTTACAAAATGTTTACACATTTTAAGTAGTTTTCTCCCGTTTGAAGTTTAACTACGTGAGTCATGGAGAAAAATCAAACGATTTATTCTGTTTGTGTTTTAGATCCTACTTTCACATGCTTTCGACGAAACTGGTCGCTGGTTTTGGTCATTTTTATTGGGCGACAGCACATGCCTCGCAGAAAGTGAGCACAATTAAAGTTACGCAGCCACACTCGCAGAAAATTTTGCTGCATTCCACGTACGCCAGCCTAGAATATGGAAGTCACAGAATCAACTGGGTGCAGACAAGCTTAGCAGTAATTTACGGATTACTGGCAGTCATCGGTGTCCTTTCAAATGTCCTTGTGGCTTATATTCTGTTGTTTATTCGTCGAAGAACTTTGTCAAACATCACCAACATATTTGTGCTGGTACTAGCATTATCGGACATACTGCTCTGTGGTTTCAACATGCCTGTGCAAATGTATTACGAACTGAAAGAATCTGCTCCGTTGAACTCGGCTGCGTGTAAAATAATGTTTTCCATTTTTGGGATTCCCATGCACATTTCATGCTTGATAATTTTGTTGATTGCATGTGACCGATATCAGATTATCATATATCCCCTGTACCCGAGGATGTCTCCACGAATGGCGCTGATCCTCGTGGCTGTTGTTGTCGCAATCAGTGTTGGAAATAGTTTGCCAGTGGCTGTTTACAGTACAGTAATTACCGTAGTCCATCATCCAAACATATCAGAACGCGTGAGTCACGATCATGCTTCGCCATCTACTCAGCGTGGTAAACTACTCTCTACCGAATCTCACATTTATTGTGTTGAACAGTGGACAAATACGACCGCCAGGTTAATTTATTCATTCGCAACATTTCTGTTACACTTTTTTGTCCCGCTTGCTCTGACTGCTTGTCTGTATGGCCATATATTTTGTCGACTCCACGAACGCCGGTTTCATCGAGGAGCATTGGAAAGAAAGCGACGAACAAATAAGATACTCATCCGAATAGTTGTATGTTTTGTCATCTGTTGGACTCCATGGGCCTGCTTCTCACTGTGGCTGGAGCTACATGCATATTTCGTACAAACCTCGTCGGTAGCTCGAAACATGAATAGCCTGACCAGTTCGGCTGGTATGGAGACTTCTTTAGTTGACATACTCTCGTTGTCAATTATTTCTAAACGAATGGCAAGGGAAACTCTCTGGTACACGGCGACAAGTGATAGCTCATCAACTTTATCTTCACCAGAAATGCTAAACGTTTACAACGCTGAGAGCGAAGTTCAGAGGGGACATGCACCGACAGCTCCAAGTGCACGAGAGTGGTCCAAGAAGCTATCAGACGACTTCCCAATATTTGGACTATCTACTCTGGAAAACCATACAAGAGTGATTGACTTATGTTTGAAGCTTTTTGCAATGGGCTCCGGATGCATTAATCCTTGGCTGTATGGTTGGTTTAACAAGTTTTTCCTCTCCATCTTGAAAATGTTCTGGAAGAGGGCTATACACAAAACCGACTGGATAATGAAAATAAAGGAGGTTATTGGTCGGGCTAGGTATGTCCGCTGGAGACTTGTGCCGCAACAGAGTGTGCCCATTTATGAAAAACGTTCGACAGATTTCGATTCGAATATTCACAGTGGGAATGGAAATCAGAGAATCCATTACGAATCCTACACGTCCAAATTACGCAGCCGCACATGCTATTGTTGTGGGGCGTACTGTACCTGTAGTTTTTTCTATAGACCGCGTTTGTTACTACCAAATGATGTTCAAAACAAGATAGAAGAGTCGTTTGCCGGACGCGCAAAGAATTTTGATCATTCTAACAAGGATAGTTCAAACAAAGATTCAGCCAAGAAAACCGACAGTTGTGAGAGATGTGCAGCTACTGGTGGACTTACTGGTAGCGGATCGAAGACATCTCAGTCTGGTAGCGCAAAACACAAGGGATCACGTCACTCCGGTGATATTTTAATAACCCCTGTCAATGGCCAGTTAGTTGAAGGCGACGCAAAGTTCGATGTTTCACAATCAACAAATAACAACGGAAGCAAACGTGAAATCGAATTCGGTGGCTACAAGCGCTTCGGTAGAAGATTTTCGCCTCGCTTCAGTGGGTCATCCACAGGCACATTTAGCTATTTAGATCCTTCGACAAAACAAACGAGCCTGAATCCGTCTTCAGCATTTACCCCCACCCCACGTGGATCTTTTCAGAGATCAACAGAACAGAATTCGTTTTCAAAACTAGATATTCCAACAATGCCAAAATTCAACTCACCAACCACGGGCAATTTCGGATATCCGCACGAACTTGATCTATCGTCAGCACTGAAATATTCTTGGAATAAAGACAACCGAATTAACATCAATTCAAGAAACTCGATTCATCAGCCACACTCCATTTTCTATGAAAATCAAGAAGATCCGAGTGATTCAGGTGATAATCATGTCATTACAATATTTTGCCCGCAACTTCAACCAGAACCACGGCCGATGGAACTGCTCACAGTCCATGAGCAGTCCGATTCTCCCTCAAACCAATCTACAATCCAAACTGAAGAACCCACACGAGAGGTCATTCAGATAAGTGTCCACACCGCAGAAAATAACACCGAAACGGGTTTATGTTTCCATAATCGCCAGATGTTCCCGCTCGCGAACAGCGAACTAACAGCCGACAAAATTCCGAGCATTGCTTCTGATGCTGCTACATCCGGTCAGTTTGCTAAGGAAATTCCATTTGTAGATGATGAATCAGATGACACGCCTAATGAATTACCAAACATCACACCCGATCAACCATGTGATTCGGGAAAACCTCCCCTGATAACGGAAATTGCGAAAGAAGTGGACGTCAGTAACCAAGTTTCACCAACACACAGACCATCGGCTGAAAATCTCCAGGAGCTTCAAAAGCAGACCGCCTGTTTAATCAAAACAACAGAGGCAGAGTCAAGTCCAAATAAAGCGAATACCATCATGAAGAATAAACGTAGATTTAGTATTTATCCCGGATTTACGTTTCAGTATCAACATAGAACAGGTTCCGGGAAAACTCTGTCCGAGATACCGCGGCGAATGACCTTAAAGGAATCTCGGCGTAGAGGGAGTGTTCGCCATTTACGAGAAGAAGTGCAAAAGTTTGCTGAAAGACAGTATGCTGCCGCGCAGGTCAAAAAGAAATTACTCCCATTTCCCGAATCAAATTCGAATGAATCATCAGATGTGGACGATTTTGCTCAAATAAGTCGCCTCGTAGCTCGCGAAGCGCTTCTTGAACGGCAAGCAAGAGTTCGAGCACATAGTCTTGGGGCTACACTTGACGGTGACGTTGCTAAGAGTCGCATTCGTCATAGCATTGGAAGACACTAACTCTATAAAAAAATCTGGCATCTACAGTCCGAAACAAACAAAATTTTCTAAATTGTTTGTTTCAAAATTTCGAACTGATTTTATGCTTAACGCTGATTATTTTCCAATCCATTATGTCACTGTAACCGCTGCCCATTGTCTTCGCCCATTAATATATATGATGTGCGCTTATATACCCAGATTGCAGCATAACAAATTTGTCAATAAAATAGTAAACGCTTCTACGCATGGACCATTGTGGGAGATTGGAGTGTAGCCAAAACAGCTCATTAAAACCATAGGTCTTCTTCCGTAGAAAAGGTGAAGGATTAACCTAGTTTTGTGTTGATGGGAAAAACCATCTGCAAATATGAAACAGAACTCCCGTATATGATAGCCTTTATGAGCGATGCACTGGCCTAATTTCGTAGACCTGCAGAAGGAATAGTAAAAAGGAAAACTTAAGCGGAAACAAAAGCAATGGCGGCATTTTGAAGCCTATCGTCAAACACAGATGAGGGAGTGTATATGAAACCTATCTAGGATCAACAATGTTCTGGTCACATCTGATGGAATCTGGTTTATATGCGGTGCATTCGGTATTAAATGCAAACATATGGGGAAATCATAATCGAGAATGTGGAGCACTAGCGACACGAAACTGGATTTAGACATAATTCGTGTTGGTAATCGGTTTTCAGCTAATCAACTGACGATAAATTTGGCTTGTACTGATCGTATTGTTTGCTCATATACACTGTCGATGATTGCATCCGATTCCATCATGACCCACTTAGTTATCACAGTTAATATTAAGGTGGTGTGTTTGGCCACCGTTCCTGAACTTCGTCCCAGGAAACCTTGCATAGTTTCTACATATCGACTTTGAATAATCCGTGCAGTATCTACTGGTGGTTGCAGCCTATCTACTCTCCTGTTTGTCTTTGCAGATAGACAATTGTAGTTGCGCTGAGGGTAATTACGTGGTCGTAAGTCACATTTTTCGGTGCCGAAAAATCTTCAATACAGCTTGTTTGCCACTCATTTTCCAGTTATTCTGAAGTTCATGAATCACATGCTGTTTTGTGATTCGAAGTTCATTTCTTCCTAGACATTTACATTGAAGTGCTTTTTTTCGTTGTTACACCAGACTTTCGGTGGGATAAGAAGCCATTGAGTGGTTTCCAAACCTTAAGTGAGGACGCAAATTCACAAATGGTTAGTTACTATTTGCGTAAAGAGGCCCAATGAACCGGAAGAGCCAACGTAACGTTAGTAGTTTTCACCATACACATAGGTAAATATGCATATCTCATGTGGATCCCTGTCGAACTCTGTGATTAGGTAGTTACATGATTCCATGGATCACTGAGTCTTGGTTTCTGACACTGAGCAAAATTCAGGCTAATGATACAAGTTTGCATGAGCAGAAATTTTCATGCACAGTTTCTTGTATGTGCGTGTAATTTTTTTTCTTTTTTACCACACTTTGAAAGTTTTTGAAAAAGTGGTGGCGTTTTAAAATTTCATTATAAGTGAGTCACCGATTTACATAGATCCTTCGAAGCAATCCCAGCCTCATCCTGATGGTCCTTTTTTCCTTTAAACGATTACTAAAAAATTCCACCGAATCAAGAAACCTTGTCGGTGAACACTATAAGAGAATAGCATTCACACCCAGGGGATAAAAATATGAGCTAGTTCACAATTAAGCACGGGCGCTCATTGGACATTATTAACTTTTTTCTAAGTAGATGATTTATTGGTATACGGCTCAAAATGCTGTGGAACACTGTCAGGAATAGAAGCTTGGCATCAGAATGGTTCCTGCCATACTGTAACTAGCAGGGGTCCGTTGATAAAGGACGACAGTACGCCTGGAATTTTGTCGGTTCCTGTAAATCCACACACGAATAATCGCACAGCGTACGCAGCGTTTGTTCATGCGTAAACTGAAAACTGGCCTAGTGTGGAACCATGAACATCCAATGCTCCAGAAATGTCATTTCAAAAATAGAGAACTTTCTTTGACTTGGCCTTCATCAAGACACCAATTTGGTTTTGATGGGTAGCTTTTCTACAACACATCTGAGTCTCTCATGCATGACATGCTGCACCAAACCATCTCGTGCTGCAGCTGGCAAAACTGGTCGTGAGTAGTCCAGGAGATTTCAGGGAACTTATAAGGAGTACAAAACTTAATTCAGTCTTCAAAAGGGTTGTCAAATGTAGATCATTTTTCAACATGCACAGTTCCAAGGTTTAGGTTCATTTGGTTCTTTATTCAACCGTTAATCCTGCAGGACATTCGAAGAAAACTCTTACTACAATAGATTGCTCGATATGCATCTCATTCGCAGGGAATTCACGCAGTCAAGATGTCTGTACTGAGGTTTCCGTTTTGGGCCTCGGAAAGGCTTCAGAAAGATATCATTTGAGATGAAAACATTGAGGGAAGATGCCAATATTTTGCATTCATGCACATACACACATATATACATGTACGTTTTTTCGCATTTTCATCAGGTCAATATTGTGTCTATGCAAGTAGTAGTACACATTTGTAGTATTTTTTTCTTTGCAAAATCAGCCATGTATGTAACGTTGCATCTCTGGAGAGATTAAAACATTATAAAATCTATCATTTGATAACAATATTGGCAAAGTCGGACAGGTTTGTTGACCTCTAAGTAAATTCTACAAAATCCTGTCAGACTGAAATAACAAACAGTTTAGTCCACACAAAAAAATTGACAGGATGGTTTCATCTGATTTAGTGATGGCCTCAGAAAGCCCCTAAAACAGAAGATCTGGAATAGAAGGGGAAAATTCACGGAAGGAGGTGACGACCTAGATGATCAAACAATCTCCTACAAGTTACCATCATCAGATAATGCAACATCATTCCTGGGAAGAAAAAAAGCGTTTCGTTTAATTACTTTTAAAGTTGTTTAAGGAAAAAATAGAAAGAAAATGAACAAAGGAGAGAGACTTAGGCGGACATTCTGAGATGCCCACATTTCAGTGCGGACGCCATTAAACTTTATTAGCCGCCATCTCTTGTGGTGTCTTCAACCATTGAAAGTGGGCGTCACTGGGACCTCATCCTGGATCCTGGGCCACACCAACAAATACAGTCTACTTGTTATCTAGTTTGTAACTTTACTCCAAAGGCTACCGATCTCGATGTATACGATATTTCATTTGAGGCGAGGAGGACAACACTCGCCTCCGTAGACAGTGATTTGCCATGCGCAGCACATTGCTGAGCCATCGCACTTAACGTTTCCAGGTGGTCTCCTTGAATAAGTACCTACGGCATAACCAAAAAAACGTTTTTTAACTGTCTCACCACGAATGTGGCACCATCATTCGATATCAGCAACGCAACCGTTAACAATATAATCCCGTACATGTGCTGTCACCATCACCCTCGTTAAAACGTGCGAGCTGGCACTTGACTGCGACCTCCGGGACACAGTAATATACCTCTTGGACGCCACAAGTGATGCAGATGGGCGAATGCGATTCGGCTATTAAATGTCTATGACACTTTGGCGTCTCTAAAACATTTATTGTTTTTCAATGAATCGCAACGGACACAGTAGGGGACTGCAGATATCCGAGCAAGGCTCTGCACTTTGTAATCGAAGGGTGTGCGCTGACAAGTGGTGTGATATTGGTCAGTTTGTTCGACAGAAGTAGTCCATGGTCCTTGTCTCCAGAGATTCGGTGCGATTTTCTCTGTGCATTCCAGATCGATAAGGTTCTCAAAGGCAACTACCGATGAGTATCCAGCGTCCGATTCGTTGTTTTTTAGACGGCGAGTATGAGCAAGACACTAAAACCTTTTGCATTTAATGCCTGACTTAACGGGCAGCTAATCACATCAAAATTTTGTCATAGAAGAGCCTCGTAGTCCGATGATATTTTTCTCACTATGCTGTCCATGAGCCTTTGTAAAACAACGTGCTAATTTCTAGCGTCGTAATAATAGGGGATATTGTTTAAATACTTTCATTTCCATATCACTTTGGTTTTGGTGGGAGATTTGACTAATACGAGGCAAATTTCTTGCCTATGACAGTCTTCTTCAACTGAATGTGTTTCACAAGGCCGCTGACTGTTTCGTTGAAGTTTGTCTTAAACATAATGTGACGTCAATCGATGGCCTATAAAACCCTCTTATACAAAACGTTCATTTTGAGGCCACCATCGTCCAGAGTCAGTGTAGCGTAGCATCCATCCTAACTGTGAAATTGACTCCTATTCGCGGAATCCCATATTTGTCGGAATGAAATGGTTTGAAAACTTCTCCCGAGCGCTTCTCACTTTGCACTAAAATCGAGTTTCCAAAATGTCCTTCTGACGACTGGGAATGGCCTGCGCACATTGAATGCCGGCCAGTCAAAGCTCTCCCTCTCCTCAGTTTCGAAATTTCAAAAGGTATTCTGTTTACGATCTTCTGATGGGGATTGCCCCTAGGAGGCAGTTCCCCCGATATGCATCTCGCTACAACATTTTCCGAAAGATCCCACTGTGATTACTTCGCGATACCCACAAGATAAACGAAAAACTCCAAAATTTTCCGTGCAGGAGACGCATATGCAAATTTTAAGGGTAATATGGATGCAAATATTCCTTAGCATACCCTTTTGAAAAACTAATAAATACATTTCATTTCGTCTGTATGACACCACCAACGAGGCTTGTACAGAGTTTAAATCACCAGTTATGCAGACAATTCCTTGTTTCGCTCCCACCACCCCATCGCCCTACACGAAACTGCCTTCAACACATTAGACCTACTTCACTGACCACTTGAAGATCATTAAATCGAACGTTAGGAAATCAGAAGGATAGAGAGAAAGAAAGTGGAAAATATTTAAAGCAATGGTTTGTACGGATAAACTCGAACAAATTAGGTAAGATTATGACTCCCTCATGTTGACCGGTTGAACGGTAGACTGATGGAAAGTTCAAAACTGCATAGCAAGTTGGGTGGTGTGACAGGCAGCAAA